TCACTGCATGGTGCTTTCAATATTCAAGAGCTCTATCAGGAGCAGGAAAGAAGGACGTAAAGCTCCATTCAATTTCATTCTGTTCATTGAAGACTGGATTATCTAAAAGAAAAGACTTTCGTTATTAATTATAAATGATATTCTGAAAGGTAATGATTAACACAATATTGTTTCAATATTTCTTTTTATTTATGATTAAAACTCGAATAATCCACTACGGTTATTTTTTTTAATATTGGATATCTTTTCTTTGTGCGGGACTGTAACCGCTCATTTGCAGACGTGTAAATCAGACTATAGTGACGTCAACAATAATTTGAATTGAATTATTTCTATTAGGGATATATTGATATAAAATACATAGTAATTTTCGTCTCATTTTCAGATCAAATAGATTAGAAAAACTTTGTTTTTTAAGGAGCGCACGTGCACACGTGAGTATCCCGCAGTCGGGAATTAATTTGAGAGTAGTTGATAACAGATCATTGAGGTGTATTTAAATACTAATGACAACTTTTAAAGAGGATTATTTCCCCTGATAAACCGGGGTTAAGTAAACCACCTTTGGAGTTGAATAAAGCGAAATTACTTGGTGTGCTATTTCATTTCGTGGATGAATGATTTTAGAAGATGCGTGGCGAAGTAAAACAAATATTCACCTCGGAGTGATCAGCGGTGTCGTATTCAATTCTAATTTTCAACTCGCTTTATTTATGCACTCGAGATTAATATTGATTCGACGTTTACCGCTAGGCGATGTTTTTACTCTAGCACAACATGATATTGCCCAAACGTATAATTTTAAGCGAAGTTTGAATCTGGCGGATTAGGCCCCCCGTTATGATTGTATTTTGTTAAAAGCTGGAAATAGTTGTTAGAAGGGACCGTACACATATTGTTTTTAATTAAACAAAGAGACTAATTGTATTGTCATTACTTAAAATTTCTATATTTGAATTGCGGCAGCAAACGCACTGTCGTTTTTTCGGCCCACTACGTACATCTTTCAGCCAAAATTTATTGAAAAATATTCACCCTTTTCAATATTCTTAAGGCAAGCATTATCCAGTCTCAAAAGCGATATTTATATCAAGAATATGACCAATTGAAATAGATTTAAACCGCTGTGAATTTCTTTTGTAATTTTCGTTCTTTTTTCTATTATTATTAGACTGTATTACATTGTATTACGTTGGAATAGCGGGGTCTGCAAGCTAGTTGGGTTGTCGTTTACTTAGTACTAGGCAATTAGGTGCCGTGGGTTCGAATCGTCCTCAAAGTAAGAAAAAGTCCTGAAGCCTGTGCTTCCGAAAGTGGGCCCGGTGTGGCTTTCAACCTCTATCGACTATCCCAATATAAACCCCCTCATACGTCAGGTTTGTTTTGGGGTTGTTCTTTTTGCAGAAAGTGGACCCGGTGTGTGGCTTTCAACTTCTATCAAGTAACCCAATGTAAACCTCTAAGTCAGGTTTGTAATGTTTTTTTGTCGGCCCGGTGTGGCTCAACTAGCCCTATGTAGGTCTTACGTTAGTTTTTTTTAATCTCGCAGATTTAAGCGAGAGTTTAGAATAATATATCATTCCTTTAAGGTCAAGTATAAGGCCTAAAACAGAAATGATTATCAGTTAGTTTATAGCATGTATTATTGTTACCCGCATCCAGACTAATTAGCATTCCCCTTTCACTAATTAGAGCTAATTGGTATCCACGCAGTTCATTAATGACTGCTTGACAAACAATCCAAAGGGGGATAATTCAAAAATTGGAAACTTGTGGCCAACGATGCGGACATGAGACCGTTTTCTTGTATAAAACCCGCTGTACATCAAAGGCGGTTGACAAATATCTCAGATCCGGAAGGCCTGCAGCCATTTTAACGAAATAGTGGGTTATTTTCCTTTCCCTAAAGATTCTGTAACTCGTGTTTATTCCCCATCCTATTCAAATCTTGACGGACTAGAAGACTTTCTGACAGCTCTCCATATGGTCCTCTAATTTCAAGATTGTTCACGCTATTGAAACCCTGTATCGTCTTTCTCTTCTATTTTGCTTTGGGTTATATTCCGAATGACAACAGATTTTTGTGAGTTTGTCCAAACAGCAATTTTTTTTTAATTTGATCCCAATGGATTACGATTTTTTAATTTAAGATGTGGATGCTAAATTGTCGCTTATGTTGATGATGGCTCATGGACGTAGCCTGGGTGTGCAAAATATGGCGTTTTAGGTCCTACTCTTCTGCAATAGGTTGGAGACAATGGCAGGTATAGGAGGTGGGTGAGGGGGGTGGGGGTCATTGAAAAATAGTTTGCACTTTATTATTAACAAATTTTGAAAATATGATTTTTATATGACTTTGTACCAAAATGTGTGTAAGGTGTCAGAATGCACAAAATCAATACAAAATTTTCTTCAGAGAACTCTCTCGGACGCTCCATGGCAGGCTTGCGACAAGACACCTCTACGATATTGCCTCATTTTGAATTCAGCCTCGGGAGGTAAGCGCCGCCATTAGTCGAATAGTACGGACAACACCGTAAAGTTTATAACGAGGGGTATTTTGTTAGGGCGGTGGCATTAGCCTGCTCTTTTTGATCTAACAGTCCAAGGATCTTTAATGTCCTCATAATGTGTAGACTAGACAAGCATGCGGATCATCTCTCATTTCACCTGCCATTCACGAGTTGATTTATCATGATTTATTAAATAGTGTTATTAATATACATACAGATTGTTTATCAACCATGTTATGGTATCCCTCCTAAAGTGAAACATGGTAGAAATAGTATAGGGTGTGACGAAGACAAGATGTAAAAGGTGATAATATCATGATTTATTAAATAGTGTTATTAATATACATACAGAATGTTTATGATATAAACAATAAATATAACACATGCTGAAAGCTAGTCCTGTATTCATCAGTTTGTTCACCTTCCCTTCAATTACCTTTTGATCATCTTCACAATATCAATCTATTACAAATTTCGTCTTATACCTTGATTGCAATAGCAACCTTTCTTGTATCATGGAAAATGCAGCAATTTGGTTGGATTATATATTAGCAAATACAGCCAATCAGAGTCCTCGACAGAATGTCTGTAAACAATAATCAATAATGTTTACAGTCAGTCTGTCAAGGCTCAGATTGGCTGTATTCTCTTGACATACAATCAAAGCGCTGTATTGGTGATACATGACAGGTGACTATTACAGTCAAGGTATAAGTATAGTTCGTAATAGCTAGACGTTATGAAGAAGACTGAAAGCTAGGATGGAAAGAATGATCATTCTTGGATCATCAAGTTTTTCAGAAATCCAATTCCATATCAAGAGAAAAGAAATAGACGTAGTTCTTATAGTGTTCAAGCAATAGAATTGATTCATGTAATAATTTTATTCAAATTGAATTAAAATGGTCCCAAAAAATCTAAGGCTACTACTTGAAAGATTGCAAATTTTACAAAATATTTTGAAAAAATCCCAAAAAATAAAGTGTTACCATTATGAGAGTTTAAGGCTGAAAACGAAAATAATTCTATACAAAATTTACAAATATAAATATTTTTAAACATGCAAAATAATATTTTATAATAAAATAAGGCAATTGTCATCTTTAAACAGCGAGAAATGAAATTCTATATAAATCTTTTAAGCACTTACAGCCAAAACTAGAACCCAAATATTGCCATAGAAACAAAAAAATAAAGTTCATCTCATTTAGATTTAAATTGTTCATATAATTTCCATATACCATCAAAGATATTTCTAAATTTGAAATACTGAGTTACCAATTACAAAGAGCATTATTTTATATCATATACAGTACGATACCAAGGGCAATAACTCCATTTTAGCATCTATAATAAAACAGACCACATCAATTGCTAAACACTGTATATTCCTTTCAAAACTTGAAAGATCTGTTGTGTTGTTTTATTTCTAATGCTAATTTGGAGATTTTGGAATAACTTACTTAGTAATCCTTTAGCGATATTTAGGGGAAGAGATCACATTAAATAACAGGCACAATTTTATGGTTTACTACTCCTTAGTTTTATTACACACTACGTTTCAACAATCTACATTGTCATCTTCAGGTGAATATGACAATGTAGATTGTTGAAACGTAGTGTGTAGGTGAAAATGACAATGTAGATTGTTGAAACGTAGTGTGTAATAAAACTAAGGAGTAGTATACCATAAAATTGTGTCCGTTATTTAATATACTACTTATTACTAAAGCTCAAAATTAACTTAAGCTTACAAAGTCACATAATTAATTTCTGTGCTCAATTTTTTCAACATTATATCGATAGTCTGATGTAAAATTTAACATAAGAAATATAAGATGAAATGAATAGAAACAAATGATACAAGTTGAAACAATTTACATCACAATGAGATTATATTTGTCATGATTTTCCTGCATCTTAACAAAATGGTCCAAAAATATTTTTGCAAGCTTTAAAGGAACAGTTCCTCTTGTAATGAAAATAAAATCTAAATTCACAAACTTGGCCATAGTTTTATGGATTTATTGTTATATACAGGGATTATGTTGTTAAGTTAAAAAGAGTTTAACTTCAAACATTGTTGCAGGGACAATCGAGCGATAAAATTGTTTCAAGAATAGGTACGTCCACTGATGAATATTTACTCTTTTTTGGCCAAGTTTGAAAATCTAAATTTTATGTTCATTCAAAGAGGTAGAAGTCCTTTAAGAGATCAAATATACATTGTTCTGAAATAGCCGCGTCACACCAGAAAGGAGTCCTTACTGCATTACTATGGTGACAGAAAAGTGGGATGAGTGAATCCACAATGGCAACATAACATGGTTGCTAAGTGCTTTAACATTTGTAACTATTAACGAAAGTTTCTACTCATTAGGTGAAGACCTGGTGCATTTCTAATTGCAGTAAGATCGCAAATGGTCACAATCTGGTGTGACTGGGCTATAACAAGAGTTCGAAGAGCTTTTCTCTTTCTGTCTTTTTTCAACTGGTCTGTGTTTTCTGATCTATTCCCCGTTTAATACACAATGTTTTATATTTTATATTCTGCATATTCTGCAGTTCAGCAACGGGCACTTCGATGTATTTCTTCGATGCACATTCGTTGACTAAATTATGAAGTTCTTCAGCACTGTATCCTAGCAACATTTTTAAATCACACACAAATTTATACACAAATCTTTTACCATGTACCTGCAAGAAAGATTACATTCAGTATAAAATGCAGGACATATTGACAAAACAATTTATTAGAATAATACCAAAATATTTTCTATGAACTTAAATCATTTGAAAAATGTTCAAAGAGTTTTCATTGGATAACAGAAATGTGTCATACTAAAACAAGTGCTCTGTGACCTTGGCCAGTGCTTTCATTGAAACTCGTCTCAATACACCCTAACACTAATGACCTAGGCCAGTGCTTTCATTAAGACTTGTCTCAATACACCCTAACACTAATCACGAGTTTGCTTTACCTTCTGACAATTTCAAAAGTGCTAAGGATACCTAAAATTGATCTCTATCAGCTGGGAATATTAATCTAATCTAAATGTGTTTTTAACAGAAGTTTGAAATGTTTTGTAGATATAATCTATACTTACCTTAGCAATCATGTCACCATCATAATAATATCTCAAGGCACGACTTAATTTCTCATAGTTCATAGTGGGTTTATTTTTACGTCTCCCCCACAGTTGGGCCACCATCTCAGGGTGTATGAGTTTGAATTCTCCCTCATCCCCTACCCAGGAGATTATATTTCGACTGTCTTTATCCGTTAATTGTTCCAGTAAAAACTGCCATAGTTGAATCTGACCATTATTTCCTGTAAAGTTAAATTATTTCTTAAATTTTGGGTCAAAACTCGAGAAATCTAAAGACTAGAAAATTATTCTAGTTCAAGGAAGAGTTCAAATGTAAATCGGAATGTTGTCCGTCAAATTTTTGAAAATAAAATGAAAGCTGTATGTACCTGTTCTGTTACCAGGTGATAATCGTTCATCTCCTGTTATCCTTGGTGATCTAGATCTTGGATGTTTAGCCACTGTCTTTAATCGACCTGGAAAATAGAAAACAATGAAATGAAATGAGTTTTACGTCCTACTTTTCTGCACCATGTAGGGTAATGAAGATGTGCAATGCCATGCAGGGTACAATGAGGAAAATTTTGCCAGGACAGCGGCATTAGCCTGCTCTTTTTTCGATTTACAACTGTCAAGGGATCTTTAACATGAACAGCCTGTAGCAAACAGAGCCTCGATAGATTGTCCCATTCTAATAATGTTTTCATGAATCCAAAGACAATCTAAGACTCCCAGTAAAAATTTTAGAGTTGATTGTTAAAATATGATGTGTTAATATAATAGTTGAACAGTATATACCTTCTGTATCTGATGTAGAAACTGTAATAGTTGTTATAGCATGAGGTGTAGGCTGCTGCATAACAGCTAAAAAACACAATAAAATAAATCTCTTTAATTTTGATCCACAAAGCTTGTTTTTTTCGAAAGACGTCTTATTCAAAGTCACTAGATTTTTATGCACTAACTGAGTTTAGAATGCACAACCACTACTTGGAGATGATCTTGTACTAGCAGACAGCTACTCAAAAAGAAATGAATTTGTCTACTGTTGTACTATTTCCAGTTTACCAAAGTTCAATTCAAGTGAGCAAAAAAAAAACAGATTACTTATAAAATATTGCCAAGGTTTATTCTGAACTGAAGTTTGATTCTTGGAAGTCTTACTTACCTACAAATTTACACTTTCGTAACAATTCTAAATGAGTCCAAAATACATCATTAGGGTCAGAGGGTACATATTTTACAAATTCAGCATGTGTCATGGCAGCCAGTTGTTTTCCTGTCATTCTGAAGTCTGCCGTGTTTACACCTTGTAGATCAAATTCCTTTACTGCCCACTGAATCCAGTGTTTTACATGTACTTCATTCCACTGCATAGGATCTATAATAAACATGACAATAATGATGGTAATTTTCTCAATTTCACACAGCATAGAGTTGCTTCTTCAAATAGTTTCATCACATAATAAACTAATGGGAGATAACTCTTGTTTTCAACCAATTCCAATCTGCTATTGCAAATCATATTTTGATCAAAACCATTATTAGTTAATCTCCTTCAATCAATAACATTCAAATGCAATTCCTGTGCAAGAGATTTAAAAAAATTATTTTTGGTCTCAACAATATTAGCTATGTGGACTCTCTGAAAGGAATGCAAATTTATGGAAATAATGCAAGAAAATTGGGCATGCATAGTAGTAGAAATTTTTACCAAAGGGGATTTTGAGTCGTTCCTGCTCCTTTCTGAAATTCTGATCCACAATCCATCGAGTGACATTTTCATTCTCCTCCGGTAGGGGGATAACGACTTTTGTATTATTGGGTGTACCAGGGGTGCTGGACGGTAAGGCTGGTATATGAGACAGGGTAGGGGTTGACGGTACTGAAAGGAAAAGTTCTGGTTTTGAAACCTAACTCCAATTGACCAATAGAAAATTCTTTAAGAATGGTTCTAGACAGGATTTTAAAACCTTAGATTAAAATTTAACTTTTTCAATCCAAATTTGACTGTCTTTATCAACTTTATGGTCAAACCCTTCATAAATCTATATAGCAGAATTAAAAATAACTATGCATAAGAGAGACAGTTGGATGTCATCTGCGGATTTAAATCTCTTCAAGGTAAAAAAAACCAAATTCTGCTGCCAAGGCCAGTACCTCTGAGAGTCCATTGTACAAAAGAAAAGAGTGATACCTGGAGGAACTTCTTCAATAGCCTCATCAACTTCATCAGCAGTTTTTAAAATGTCCACGATGTTAATCTTAGGGTTCACACCTGTTAGATACAAAATAAAACAATAAATTTCTTAAAGTTTTAACTGTTTTCAAATTTTAACTGAGTTTGATGGATTTATAGGATTATACAGGGATTTTGTTGTATAGTTATGACACCAGGCCCTGTATTCTCGAAACGATCTTAGTGCTAGGATATCCTAGGTTCTTATCTTCAAACTCTGTTTCTAGAATATCCTAGCACCAAGATCGTTTCGAGGAATATGTGTCCAGGTAAGTCCAATGATGAATATATACTGGCCAAGTTTTAGGATATGAATTTTATGTTCATTCTAAGAGAGAGTAATCCTTTAATCTTGTGGTTGACAATGGATTATAACTGTCCTTATGATAGTAGGTGGGGAAGGAGATTTCAATTTAACAAGCCTTACCTGGTTGTGATTTAACTTCAAGATTAATCTGGACCATTCCTTCACCCTGGACACACTGATCTACTAGACTTCTATCTTGGTCTAACTGTAATTCATAAATAAAACACAATTTAAATTCAATGTTCAGTTATTACAGCCTTAAAATTGCTTGACAAACTGAGGGTGTGCATCTTAGGCACCAGCAAAATATATAAAAATTTCAAAATGTACAATGAAAATTGCCACTTCAAGTAATTGGACTTAGCATACTTACAGGAACGGAATCTTGTAGATAGAATTCATGGTCTGACAGAGAACACTGAAGTCGGATTTCTAATAGACGTTTTAATGTCATCAAGGGTTCTGCTATATCCATGTGTTGTATAATGAGATTCTGGTAGCTAGGCGCTGGTTGCTGGTGGATCACTTCTTCTGCATAAACAACCCTAAATAATAATAATGCAATTTCAATTGTAAGTGAGGTTGAGTTTCAAAACACATTGAAAAGACCAACTACACATTGGAACAAACACAAATCAAAAAAGACCAAAGTAAGATACTTATCAGCTATCATTTGGGAACCAAAATACACATAAATGTTAAAATGGATGAAAATAGATTTGTTTACAATGTACAGCTGCACAGATGAACTGAGGCCCAATGTCTTACCCTTCCTCCAAGCATACTTCTTCAGTTCTTTGTCTTTTTTCTTCAGGGACATTTTGGACTATCTCTAGCTGGCCAATGGCTTCAACATGGTCTGTGGAATCTTCATCAGGAACTGTCGGGGACAAGGCTCTCTTCATACCTGGAATATATTTCATCTTTGATAAAGTCTCCGAAATGACAGTGTCAAGTTTACAATAAAACCCGGTAAATTGTTCAAATTTATGAGCAATAATTCAAAGAAGAAAAAAGCAAAAAAATCTCTAATCTAATCATCCTGACTGATATATATTCACTTCATTTTGAAATAAATTGGCTTGTTATTGTCAGCTATAAATAATTATACCCAAATCAATGGAGGGTTAAATGATTCTGCTGACTGCAGTCTATTCTACATGGTTGGTTGCTTATGTGCAACTATTTCATTTATTTATGTAGGCCTATCTATGACTCATAGGAAATTCCCTAAGTCTTCTAAACTCAGGAAATTAGGCCTACTCAACAATTTAGAAAATGTATCATATTAAAAAGTTATTTCTATTGTGCAAGTATGAATGTCAGCTATCTTACAAGTTTGGGAGAGAATCCTTTAATATTATTAGGTTTCATAATGTGGTCTCAACGAGAAGGCTATCCACAACCAAAATTGGGTCATTGAAAAGATGGCGTCTGGAATTTAGGAATGTATTTGAACTAGCCATGGCCTTGTCTTTGAATTTGAACTTCACATTTTGAAAATAATCGGCATTCATATTCAAGAAAGCTAAGCGGATGTGCCAGAAATTGGTAGGAAAAGGAAATAGATGTCTGCTAAAGGATGTTTACAAGAAAAACTTCCGGCGCCAGACGCACGTTCAACATCCTGTTCAGCCGAATGGGTATTTTTGACCTAAATGTGAAGATTTTGAACAAAGACAATGACTTCTGTAATCAAATTAGACTCCATTTTTGTCCCTGTGATGAAACTTAAACATACATTACCTGTTAAATTGAATTTTGGTTGATAAAATAGGGAATTTTTAGGTAAATATTGAACCGGAAACTTGATGAAACGGAAATCGAGCTATCGGCGCAAAAATGCTTCACCTTGTATCACGTGACGAATAAATTGTCTTTGTTTTTGAGTTTCCAGACACTCGATGTCTATTGAATTTGTAATGTACAAAATATGACCGGATGATCAAAGCTGTTCTCGGAAAGTATCGTTATCCACGAGATCTCCTCCATACTTTGTGGTCTGAACTTCAAGGTTGTAAAGAGCAAAATTAATTTTTTGAGCTTTTAGGGTCTGTCTTAGCCTTTTCCCTTACAATTTAATTTTGAACTTAACTGCCCTATTATGAACTATGATCACAATTGAAGAGAATCGTGACAGTTCTGTTTTTGTTAGTAATATAGACGATTTTGTGTCGGGTTATTTCGTTCATTCGTCCATTCCATTCACATTGCCATTCAATGAATTTGAGAGGGGGTGGGAGGCTGATTATGGTAAGAAGGGTTAACTAGGCTGAATAGCTGCTTAATTTTATATCTGAATTAGCTACACACACAACACTTTTTGAAAATATTTTATATCCTGCTTTAGCATGGATTCTTAAAGCACGAAACAAACCATTTTCAGTAAATCAGAAGATATGATTTTTGCCATTTCACATTCCATCAGACTTTCGCATTGCTACTCATTCCACTAGACTTACAACATTTGCGAGTAAACTAAAACGTTAAAGGGAGTACCGCGTTAAATGTGTGTGTTTGAATGATATCATAAACATTTTTTCTGTATTGATAATGAGAGAATAATAAAATTCATGGTTACTATTTCAGATGGTTCTACCAAGTGTTCTCAGTTCGGCTAGACATGTAGTTCGTCAAGAATGTCGTAGAAATATTGGTTTCACTGCCGTCGCTCTACAACAAGCCAAATTAGATCCAATTCAACAATTATTTGTCAATAAGATCAGAGAATATGCACAGAAGAAAAAGTAAGTGTATTGCAAGGAGTTGTAAAGCTAAAGTTATTCTGCAGTCACTTGTTATTAGGGGGTGAAAACAGACACTGGGCACCTTGAGAATTCAAACCCACGGCACCTAATGGATGGATGGCAATCCATCTTTCTGCAGACAGAGTTATCCTGCTGTTGCCAAGTGTTTTATTGCTTAAATTATCCATTTCAGATCAGCTGGTGGTAAACTGGTGGATGCTGGTCCAGACACAGAAAAATTATTGGGGGAACAACTTGAAAAATTACAGAGAAACTATGGAGGCACTGACGCTGAATTAAGCAAATTTCCTGCCTTCTCATTCAATGGTAAGAATCATTTAAAATTTTTTGTCATCATTTTGACGTCTGGTTTGTATGGATTCATATCAACTTCTGAGTAGTAGAGGCTTTTACCAATGGAAGGTAACTCTTGTTCAGAAGGGACCAATCCAGACCACAATATGACATGTAGAAGTGACACCTTAGAGTTTGGAAACCAAGAAGTTTACACGAAAGGAGAACCTTTTATTTATGTTATCTATGACACAACGTGACCCAACAAGTGTAATACCCCTATTTTGCTGTGAAATTGAAAGTGATCCAATATGTATACAGGCACTAGAGAGATTCATGATAAATTATGTGTTATGTTTTATCTTAGGTACATTACAGTGCAATCTCTACAATGCAAATTTATATTAAAGAATTGTAAAGAGGTTTCTAAATTTTTTAAATTTTCACCATTCCAATTTTCAATCAGCAGACATCACTTAACGCAAATTATGTTTATCACATAAGCCATTTGCAATTAGTGACGTCATCAAACACTTAATTTTCGTGGAATTGCAGGAACAAAGATGTCTGATTGAAAATTGGAATGGTACAAATTGATGCTATCAGTGTACCTGATACACATAAAAAAAATATAGAAAACCTCTTTACAATCTCTTTAAGAATATCCTGAAATTTTTCCACAATTTTCAAAGCATGTAATGAGTTGAATTTTTGTTTTTCAGACCCTAAAATAGAAGATAGTAAAGTAGAACGGAAACAGTAGATGATGAAATGGTGGTTATTAGTAATTTGATAATTAAACTATCACGCATCAACACCTGATTTTAGTTGACACTATGATATTGTAAATACTGTGAAGTAAATCTAATTTTGAAACTGATATTTTTCTTTTTTTCTCAGAAATTGTGAGCAAATTGAGGTTATCCAAACTTAAGTGTATTAGGTGTTAAGGGGTGAGAGCTGACTTACAGGAGCCTTGAGGAACCCACAGAACCTAATCGCAGACAACAATCTAACTCGCTACCAACTGAACTATTCATCTTCTATTTGTATCATTCATATTTCCCTCTGATATCTTGTTGTTCCAGTTATAATAGAAATGTTAATGTGAAAGTGAAACCTTGAATATGTCCCCTTCGCTTATAATTCCAGTCTACCTAATTGTTAATCAGTACAGATAATCCGAGAAAGATCAATGCCAAGAGGTTTGGCCAAGTAGGGGGTAGAAAGGATCTTTTAATTGTGAACCTTAGATGTAATCCTTGTAAACTATAGTTGTTTCAGTGTCCCCAATCTCCATAAAAAATTGCAAAATTAGTATATGGTTAGAAAAAAAGGAACAAGACTACAATAATGCAGCTATTTCTTTAATATTGGCATGGTAACTACTAAACAATGGGTCTGCTTGATAAATTTAGCTGTAGAGTGTTCATCATCTACTTTATTCACTAACTGCATCTTTAACTTGTATTTTTCTGGCACTACCAATTCCAATTCCTCCTGAAATTATTACACCAGCAAAGTTTAATGAAAATTCAAAAGGATTGTTGGTTCCTGCAATTCTACTACGACAAAGTGTTTGATACGTCACTTATCACAAATGCCTTTCATGATAAAGCATATTTTGCCATTGGTTATGTCAAAAACATATTTTTTGTGGAATTGCAGGAACCACAGACATCTGACTGAAATGAATGATGCAATTGATGCTATCAGTTTCCCCAATACACATAAAAAATTTAGAAAACCCCTTTAATTCAAACATAAGTAGAATCCATTACCTCTGATATATCTAATTCACACTCCACAACGCTGGTTACATCAGGTAGATAAATTCTAATACAACATTGTCCTTGATTCTTATCATTCCAAGATTTCTCTACTTCATACTTCGGCGTCACTGGTGAAGTAACGTCTTTTGGTATTTCTTTGTGAATTTTGGCTTGAGTTGGCTCGCTGATTTCTTGAATCAAACCCGGTTTCTTGACAGTGTCGGGTAAAAAAATTTGTGGTCCTTTCTGCTCGCTCTCGACGCCTGTTGTTTTCTCTGTGTTGTCATCCACAGCGATATTAGCTAACTGTTCAAATAAACCACCCTTGGAAGCGCCTGCCAGTGGTCCAAACGTTTTACTCAGTTCATCAAAATTGTCGCTAAATTCTTTATCTTTTTGCTCGGACTTGACACTAAAACTTTTTTGAAGTTTTTTGAGATCTCCCTTATAGAGATCATCTTTAGGCAGAATGCTGTAGCTTCTCGAACACTTCACTTTGTTGAGTTGATCAATATAGTCCATAGCTAGATTAATCAATGTATCCAGGTCTGCAGAGTTCTTAGCATCTCTACCAAATTCTTCCAGGACCTTGGGATTAAATGCCACTGACACAATTTTATATTTTCCTGTAAATAGAAAGACAAAGTTATAAATTTTAAATTTGCTTTACAGCTCTGCAAAAAAAATTTTCCAATTATCATGAAGATATTTTGACCAATGACAAGTACTGTCTCAGAGTACACGTTCTGCTACATATTTCTATATTGTTTAATCATACATCATACTATAAGATATGCTTGTTAGACAATTTGAAATAGAAAAATTTCCCTTATTCCCCATGGCACAACCTAATCGGGTGTATTTAAGTTAATTTTCATTATCTATCTTACTGACCTCCATTTTCTTTTTCCTCCTGTATTGAACTTCCCATAACTGGTACAGCATCTTCAGCAGATTTAGGACCAGGAATTTTAGCCCAACCAAAAAAATTGATGTACAGCTTGATCTTTTCTGGAACCTGAGAAGAGACAATTGAGAATGGATGTGACCAGATGTGGCTGTGGAATAGTTGGCGGCAAGATGGAAAATCATCCGCTGGGCAATTAGACGATGCTGTTTTAAATTTGACATTGAGAAATTATCGAATTTAGGACCAAGGGAAAAAGTCAAAAGAGAAAAAGTGACAAAATACTTAATTGTATTGGAAAAACTCTAGTTTTTCTTACCTTCAAGTTAGTAGAAATACACATGTGAGGTTTGGGTGGGGCCATCTCCTCTTTACCTTGTTTAATCTGTTGATCTATAAACTTTTTATATCCTGCTGGGTCATTCTTAGACATGTCATCTAACATAGACCAAATATGTTGAGCTTGATTCATAAAAGCTGTTTTATCCATATTAACTGATGCCATCTTAACACTCTAGTGTATTGTTTCTCTGTGAACAAAAACAAAAAGAAAGTATTATGATGTAAATCTAGACTTTGTAAAAGGATCTTATAATTACAATAGTGAAATATTTTCATTGTTAAAATAGTGACCAATACATCAATTGTAGGGTGATATAGAAATATTAAAACAGAACCTGAAACATGTTGTTACTCAGAGTTTCATGCTGTGCGATCTTCAGACAACTGATCTGAATTCAAACAATCTATATCAAACAAACAAAATAAGCTAGCCTATCTTAGACCTTTCCAACCAAACAATCGAATCATTTGATCATTTGGCTAGATTACAATCCAACAGTAACACTACAAATTCCATTGAAGAGCAATCATTTGAGTTTTTAGGCACTATTTTTAATTACAATGAACTGATGCAAAATACACTTACTTTCCACTTACAGCAAAAACGTTAAAAATAGCACTCTAATTATCGTGGCAATTAATTTTCTCGAAAATTGTCTTCTCTACTTGCACTTTTTAGCGTCCTTAGATATTTGGTTACGTACAAATCCAGTTTCATAAACAAAGTTAAACGAAATGTTTTCGATTTGTAGAAAATATGAAACTAGAAGTGTAAATATATTTAAGGCATTAGAAAATTAGAAAATGAGTTTTGAATGATCTAGTTTGTTACTTTGTGATTACAGGAACATTCTTTATGTGTAAAACAACTGCTAGTTTTAAGTTTCTTCGTCTGTGTGTATTTTTATCTGTACAAAACCATTACTTCCGTTGTCTAAATGTAAACACGACACAAAAACTTTATTGGCATTTGCTTACTTCATTTCATCCTAAACTCTTTAGTTTCATGATCTGCTTGATTCGAATCTCAAATCTGAAGTCACCAGTTGTGATAAGAGACACACCTAATAGCTAAATGCATCATTTCCTTCGAATTCTAAACTGATGTCAGAAATCTGTGTTTGGTTGAACTTAAGACAGCCATCCATAATTACAAAATACAGGCCGATGTGGAAAAACATGGCATATGTAACATAAATGTAGTAACCTCCTTAAAAGCCAGCCTGTAGGCCTTTATTGAAAATTTCTAGTCTAAATCTCTCTAAACAGTTTGGTGGAGCCTATTGTCAGCGTTGCCTACGTTTGCCTAATTGAGTCCAAGAAAATGGACCGTAATCCTGTATTTTCTCAAGGAACTAAAAGATTGTTGAAAAATTATATTCGCCACACCGATACACATAATAGGGTGAGTGGTGGCTTTGTATCTTGTGCTGCCTGTTCACACGCTGTAGTACTTTATCTTTACTTGTTAAAACCAAAATAGTGCAAGTCTGATAACTCTCACTATGTGTATTTATCTAAGTTTAAGAACAGATTACTTCGCAATCAATTCAGTAATTTATATTCAATAGGAGAAATGGAAATAAAAAGGCACAATGGTCTTTTGTTGCATAATTCTGATTAACATGTTTTTTAGATGAATTCAAAACAGATCAATATTTTACCTAAACTCTGTAATTTTAGATTCAAGAAGAAAATGATATGTGGAAACAATATGAGAAATCAAAACAAGATGAGTCGAGAAAATTTACCCCCAGATCTCAGAAATCATATCTAGAAGACAAGAGAGATGATATGAATGATGCTAGATATAAAATGAAAAGTCGTAGTGCTCACATGGATGACAGTAGAGAGGCTACCAGTACTTATTGGATGAGACAGCTGGAAAAAACAGAGGCTGTAGACCCTGAAAGGTAAAAAGATATCCTTACACTCTGCATCTTCTAAGTGTCAAGCTATTACAAACTTTGTACGAAGGTGGTAATAGCTTGACATTGTGAAGATGACAACAGTTTCTCAAACGCTTAAAGGGATTGTAAAAAGGTTTCTAAACTTTTATGTGTGTATTTATGTCATTATAGACATTCTCAACTATACATAACATCACATTTTGGCTTTTCATATTCTGTGTAATATAGTGGATATAGTGCTCAAACATGTATAACGCGCATCCCTTCTTGTTCTCGAACACCTGATTAAAATCTCTATCAAGGTATACGCACCACAATGATCTCTATTTAATGCAATTTGTTTCAGATGGGGTCATAGTGGTTTTAAAGAGATGTATCCTGCAGATTTTGATAGTGATAGATCAGACCAGGATTCCTCTTCCTCTTCTTCCTCTTCAAGTTCTTCTTCTAGTTCAGAGGAAGAGAGGAGAAAAAGGTATGGTATTTTTGAAATCTTATTAAATAAAAGATTACAATTTCATTTCTTTTCTGTTTTTTTTTCCATCTTCATTGCAATCTAACATGTTTTCAACTGGAGTAATGTTCCAATGATGTTATCTTTAACCAATCAAAGCATGTCTTTTAGTACTTGTTTTTCAGGATGAATTGTGTGATTGTGAAACCAGAAGTAGAGCAATACGACAACCTCTTAGAAGCCCTTGTTTTCCTTGTCCCACATGATCACTGTGATGTGTGTAAAGGGTTTAAATCAAAAAAAGAAAGGTTGATAAATCTTCAAATTTTTGTGTTCTGGTTTCAGGAAAAAGAGAAAGAAGAAAAAAAGACAAAAGAGGAAAGTTGAATTGGAATGGGTAGAAAGTGAATCTATTAAATCAAGCAGAAATAATACAGACATAAATAACAGAAAAACAAAGAAAAGAAAATCTGATCAATTTGATAATAAGTCTGATAATGAAACTCCAACAAAACGTGTGAAAAAACATAAACATTCAGACAGGCACAAAAAGAAAAAGAAACATAAAAAGCATAAGGATTAGAAAAATGAATAAATGAAAGAATGAATGAATGAATAATGGAAATGAATGAATAAATGAAATTTTAAATATTTTTTTATGGAATATTATTTTCATCAGATCTATCTGGGATTCTTTCTTTTAGTTTTCAAGAAACCAGTTCTTGGTGTCAGCAAACTTGGCACTAAATTAGTTCTTTACAATTTAATAATGCAATTGTCTTGTGTTTGTTGTAATTAGTTCTGAGGGTTGGGCTAATATCAGTAATAATCTGTGCAGACAACTCTACTCCAATATACCTATACATTTATACAGCCAGCCAGTAAATGGGGGCAGATAATCAAGGCAATCAATGCTAGTCTTGGTTTTGCCAAGAACCAGCTTTCATTGGAAAATCATGCTCTAATCCAATAACATTGTGTGACAATAACATTTAGTAACAGGCTGCTTGTGTATATAATGCGTAATTCTGTTGCAAGTAACCATGCCATAAGGGTTAAGAAAGGATCAATTGTAGCATCAGATGGTTGGAATTTTCACCACAGGAAATAAAAACAATAATTTTATAATAAAATAAGACCATATAATTTATTGAGATATTTACAATTTAGATAAAAACAAACAATGCTGGTGAAATTAGGAAGATTACAATACACCTAAACAGACATCCTGTAGAAACAATAAACCAGTCTCTCTGCCTGGTCAAAACATTTTAAAATTAGGTAAAATATATATTATCCTTTGTTAGAAATTTTTACAAATTTTTTCTAAAATTGAAGTTAAATATCGGCTTTTTGGTTAAAAACTTTTCAACAGAAATTCAAAAATATGATTGTGGATTAAAATTCTGAAAGTTGGATGATATTATAATGAAAATGCTAGAAACATAAGATATTAATTTTTTTCCTATTCTTGAGGTTTTTCTTCTTCCGTTTCCTTTGCTTCATTTTGTTCAGTTTCAGGTTGCTCTATCTGTTCGGCAGGTTGCTCAGCTTGTTCAGCAGACTGTTCAGTAGGCTGCTCTGTTTGTTCGGCAGGCTGTTCAGTAGTTTCTTCAGTTGTAACTGCGGGTGTAGTCGTATCTTCCTGTGTCTCTCCAGTTTGTTCTTTGTCCCCTGAAATAAACAAAAACAGAATGCAGAAACCACAAAATTAGATTGGTCCAAATTGATGCTATCAGTGTCCCTGATACACATACAAAATTTAGAAAGCCTTTTTATAATCCCTTTAATTATGTGCAAACTTGTTATTTCAGGTTATTTAATCTTGAACCCCTAGAAACCTTTTCTAACTAAATATGCGCATGCTAATTACTACCAGAGTTTTAGTTGAAACTTTAAAAAAAAAAAACCTTTCTATTTTCAAAATGATGTTCAATATGAAGATAAAAAAGATTAGAAGACTAACAAAATAAAAATGGATCAACTTAATAATGTAACAGATCACTAATTCCAAGTGAACTGCAAAATGAAGATGCCATTAGACACAATTCGTTCAGAAAATCTTTCACATGAAATGTAACTTAAATTTTGGCATCATTCTGGTACAAAGAATATGGCATGCATAACATAAGGAACTTAATAAAACAAACATCAACTTAACTTCATGCAAAAATAAACCCAGAGGAAAAACCAACCAAAAAATGAAACAAAACTTGATCAAAAACATAACTTAAAGGATGAAAGCATTAACTGGGAGATTATTAAAATATACCTTTGAAGATACTACATTGCTGTGAAAAGTAGAAAAAAATGCAGAGTGAAACATGTCAAATGACAAAAGGCATGAATGAAGTTTTGCTTTCCAATCATTGATTTTGGAGGCAATTATGTGCAAAATTCATTCGTGAAAACCTACCTTTTTTGACCTGACTGAAAAATTTTGTAAAGACAGAGAAAGCAATCTACTCTTTTTCGATTCTAAACTGTTGAGAGATCATGCATATACTATAGATCAACCTGTATGACTGAAAGGGGAAAACCTAAATCAGTCAATGAAATTAACTCATCCCTTAACGGGATTAAACCATCGACCCTCAGGTTAGCAATTAGCAACTCAGAGTAGTGCCTGTTTATCAGATAGACAGTAGAATGAAATTAATAAGAACACAAACACACACCTTCTGTTTCTTCAGCTTTAGGATCTTCTACAAGAGTGTCATTTTCTTTGGCCTCAGCTGCAGCAGCTTCTACATCTGCAACTGCTGCTTCAGATTCTGTTTTTTGAGCTGCTAACCTTTCTTCTTCAGCTATCTCTTCTTCGGTTTTAATGTGAACAGCTGTCACGTGACCAGCCTTCCATTTTGGAATTATATTAGCTTGAGGTTCCTCATCATCACCTTTATCATCTTTCTCCTGAAGTAAAAAAATAAAATTAATTTGGAAAGGAAATAACTTTTAAGTTTTCATGAATACTAATAAATAGTCATTATTATGAGGTCACAATATCCATTATTATGAGGTCAGTATATCCATTATTATGAGGTCAGTATAGACATTATTATGAGGTCAGTATAGACATTATTATGAGGTTACAATAACCATTGATTATGAAGTCACAATAGCCATTATTATGAGGTCAAAATTGCCATTATGAGGTCACAACAAGCAGTATGATGTTTTAACTATGTACAATATATAATATAAAATGAAAGTTGACCTACCTGTTCAATAGGGATGTATTCACCATGCTGTTCACATCCAATATCAAACACATATTTTCCTTTACCTTCCATCTATAAATAAATGTATGAATTATCAACACTGAACACTGAATGAATCTGGGACAAAACACTTATTTGAAATGATTTGAGATTAATTCTTCAGGTTTTATTCTCAGAAAATTAAAGATTTCAAACTTCCAGTCATCTAATTGATCAATCACTGTTTAAATTTAGTTTGATTTTCCCCCTGGCCCTGCATGTCTCTGGGATGACTTGGCAACCCAATATAGGCTCATGTGTACCCATGGCTTGAAGCACTTGATGGAAGTGTAAACAGGTTAGGGTAACAATAAAGATGAAAAATATGTTAGGACTCAGAACAAGATCATCGAAAAAAAAATCCAATCTCAAACGTCAAGAGACGAGAAAAAAGGAAACAACTGCCAAAAACACATTCACCAATGATGAGGAATTGGTAATTATGTTGCGTTCAATTCTTATCATTGACCCTGTGAACACTGAATGGAACAAGGTATTAGTAGCACTTTGCTTATATCTCCCTCGAAAATAAAACATATCCTTACCCTATCATCTTTAAAAGTACCAACATATTTATGATTTGCATGTATCAATTCACCATGACTCTCTCGTTTTCCGTTCACCCATGTACCAACGTATTTAGTATTAGTAGCAGCGTAGATATAAGCACCCTGACCGTGTCGTAGATGACCTTGCCATTCACCCTCATAGGTGTCGCCGTTCACGTAGTAGTATTTACCGTGCCCACATCTCTGATCATCTACCCAGCCCCCTGGAAAATAAAATAGAATTAAAACATCATTATTGTATTATAGTGAAGGTGTTTATAAAGGTGTCATACGCTTTTACTTTTATTACTTGGAGTTCAGGGTATATGACGTTATATTTCAATTACACTCAGGGTTCAAAGGGTTAAAGCTTGTTTTTACTACTTATATCTGAGTGTTAAATTATGGAGAAACTATTTCCATTGTATAATAATATAAAAAACTGCACAAGAAAGACAATCCCATTAATCAAAGTCCCGTCCAAAGTATGGCAAAATCAAGAGTAAAAGTTGTATTGTAGTAGACTCTTCAATAGAGATACATCGTATATTACGTGTTCAAGGATTAAAATTATATGATCATACATCTATTTGTATTTTATAGTTGATAACAAAAGGTTACCTTCATATTTGGATCCATCTGGGTAAATAAAAGTACCTTGACCATGTTTTTTATTTTTGTTATATTCACCAATATATCTGGCTCGATTTTTAAATCTGAAAATTAATAAAGATTAGTAAAAATTGAACCTGATGGCGAAGGAAAGAAACATTTTCTTCATGACACACTTTTAAAAAAAAAATGTCTTCCGAACTAGACTGTGGTAAAGAAGACGTTTGATGATAATGGGGACGAAAATACCAGGAAAAAAAAAGCTCGAAAATGAAATCTAATTTTAATCAAAATGATGTACAGTTATTGACTAACATAAATTAAAGGGCAATTCTCACCTGTAGACCCCTGTACCGTGACGTTTACCATGTTCATATTGACCCTCGTACGTGTCACCATTGGGTAACGTGGCTTTACCATGGCCATGTCTTTCTTCTCGTTCATTTCTATCTCCATCATATTCCTATAACATATTAAATAGTCTCATTTTATTAAGTTTATCATTAATCTTGTGAAGAGGGTAGGGCTATTTTTACTTTGAAAAATTAAGCAGTCTTAATTAAACTTTCTTTTGTAGTATGCCATCGCTTAAAATATGGTTTGACGTTTGTGCAAAAATAAGATAATAGCTCCACAGGCAGGGTAAATGGTCAACCATCACCAATCAATATCAGTTTCAAAATTGCTTCTCTATGTTATTTAGCCTTAATCAATGTTTTACCAGAGATCTATGTCTGAAAGATATCTGATTCTAAAATATTACAAAGAAAATTATAGATAGAAGTGCAAATGAAAGCTAAAATCAAATTCCCCTGAAACCTAAATCAAAAATTGAGATGGCATTCATTAGAATGTAGCCTATGATGATTTTGTTGAGTGAAAACCAAATAAACTTGGAACTATTCGAGATGAACTTACGCCTAAATAAGGCCCCTGTTCCTCTTCCATTTCTTCGGATCCGATATCAGACATGTTGGTTGTTTACTTGCTTTGTCGACAAACAGAAAATAAACTAAACTTAATGATAAAACGAGAGAAAACCACTATTTTATTTGGTTCGTTGCCGCATTTGCTCCCAATGTAAACAATCGTTGCTACGTTTCACTAACTTCCGCTAAGGGGAAACAACTCGCGAAACTAAACCTCGAACCTCTAGTCTTTTTAGTGTCAGACCACAAATATTCTCTCCATTCAAGACCTCAGCCATGGGGAACGGATTAGTGAATCACTTTATAAGCGAGTGATTCGATCAATTATCACCAATCAATATCACTCAGGTTGAATTTTAGTAGAAAAATACTAATTGTCGATTGGATAGTGAGATCTTAAACCAATGATAATTCACTGTGAATATTACGGTTCTGGTTTAGTACTTTTCAGCCAATCAGAAAAAAAAAATAATAAATCCAATCCAATGTCACTTTCAGGCTCCATTCCACTTCCCATGGTGCCTTCCCATATTATGTATGGAAAAAGGCATTAATTTATTTTAAAAATGTAATGCGTTTTCAAATTATATAAAATGTAGGACTTGAGCCCATTATTTTCAGAATACCCCACCCGCCTTTTTAACAATTTGAAAATCAAAATTGGAGGGAGCTCCTCCCAATCAATAATTGTTCTGCAGACGCCACTGTAAACGACCTGGTTCTAGTAACAGAGACGTGTCACCGTCAACAGTGTATTATTCGGTAGCTGAATGAAATTTGGTCGTTAGTAAGTTTTCTGCTTGGATTAAGAGGTAACAAGAATGTAATTAGCCATTAGTGAAAGAGTTTCATATATATTTTTAAGCAATGGAGGCCTAATTAACATCATTGTGTCCCTATGTGCGAACTTGCTGTAGATGGCAATTTGGAATGTTCGCTTACCCGAAACAACGAAACAAGTAAACAAGTACCACCTGACCTTAAGCGGAATGCACGTGCTAATTACCCCATATTGTTGACATTCGTAGCTTTAGTCAACTTGAGATGAGATAGAAGTCAGGTAAGTAATGAATTTTTCTTGTTTTTTTCTTCTTTTTCCCGGATTATCTACCCCATTTGCCTATTTATTTTATACAAAAATATGCTACATGATCGCTCGCATTCACGTTTCTATGTGTGCCTCTCCTTTACAGACTACAGTGAACTCAGAATTGAATTTTATCTGTCATTCCACGAATATTCAATATAAACTAGGCATAAGATAGTGTTAAGGTAGCCGTAATTTGAAATAAATTTTCTGTTGTTACGACAGACTACCCATATATTTTGTTTTATACAGTAAAGAACTGCTAAAGACCCTAGGAGTCTGAAGATCTCTACTTCTCAAACTTCAGTAGAGACATAGACTGAAATAGTCCAGTTGTCTGAAGATCGTTGTTTAGTGTAGAGATACTAACTGAAATAGTCTCCATTCAGTTATGATAATTTTGGTCTTTTTTTCAGTCATGTTGGCTACTTACTGCTCTCTGTATCTACTTCTGCTGTCATGGGTAAGTTCCTCCGAAATCACGTTTCGTTCTTACATACAAATATAAGACACGAACTTGGTTGACCGACATTTAAATCAATACGCCAAACATAATCAGCCGGATATGTAGAAAGTTCATATATATTTCAACTAAGCCTACAAATCGCCTTTCCGTCTTCATTAGCCCACATGGTGCAGAAAAGTAGGACATAAAAATCCATTCATTTAATTTAGTTTCATTTCATTTAAAATTACATATTTTATTGGCTACATTGTATAACAAAGTTGTAGAAAACACAAATGTGTCTTTGCAAATTTGAATTAGTCAAATCGTTTTGTCCACTTTCAGGGTTTGGTGGCCGCCATGGATGCAAATGTAGATGACCGGTACATGATGAAAAGTATGTACTAGGAAAGAGGGAGGGGGGATAAAATCGTCCAAATTAGTTGATAGGAATCTTATGAATATTGCCTTCCTGTGAAATGATTAATAATTGCCATTGGAACAAAATATAGTGCTTTATACCTTATGTTCTCAGTTCTCAGTTATGCAAGTTGGAAAAAAAAAGGGGGGGGGGGGCTAAAGTTGTTTAGATTAGGCAATAAAGCGATGTGATGTGTACTGTTTACTTCACTGCACACCCTTCGCCTTGCATGTCTTACATTGTCCAATCTGGAGCAGCCAATTTGTCATTTCATTTCATTTATACCTTTATGATAAGAAGATCTGAAACAGAAAACGTACACCAAAACATCCCCTATTCCAGCCTCTGATTAATATTTTGAAGATGTATAGGCAGACGTTTCGGACTACAGATAACTATGCCATAGTCTTTCATTGCGTTGCAAATCTTTTTGTCACTGTTTGTCTTCGTACTGATCATTTTTTTTCTTATGATCTTTGTGTATGGCTTAAAACTGAATATGATACAGCGTTTGTGGCTTTATCGCTTATCTTAATTTGTTCTTTTTGCATTCTTTTTCCAGTTACTCCCGATTGTGGCCAAACCGTCTCCGATGATAATCCCTCAGTCCATATACTAACTGACGTTCCAACTTCCGGTACGGCAAAGTGTGTCAATGGAGACCAAGAGTTCACGTCTACAGACCATGTTCATTTTAATGTGGACGGAACTTTTCAAGTTGGGAACGCCAGATGTCTCTTTCATGTAAGCATTATAAACTATTTTTTTATACAATTAAAGGGATTTTGAATAACGTTTTTTATCTTCTTCACATGAATGTAGGGTCCTGAAAAATCTTTGCTCAATGGTGCCTTGACAAACAAACGAATCAACTAAATGGTAAGATTTGGAGGGATGTAAAACGCACCCTCTTGTTTTTATAAAGCTGCCCCCCCCCCCCCTTTTCACTTTAAATCAGGTTTGCATTCTGATGTCTTGCAGCAAATCGAGGGAAGTAAAACGTACCATCTTGAAGTGTTGATACGTTACGGTGAGGCAGAAAGTCTGATTCAGACCAAAGAGAAGATGTACACTGTCACCTGTACGTTTGATAACCATGGTGTGTACAAGTCACCTGTTCAGGAGATCACCGACAGGTAAGGATATTGACGGGGCGGGCAGGGAGTAGGCCCTAGCGCCCTACATTTTACAACCAAACCAAGGGCTCCATTGAACGAAAAGTCACTCCTCGTCTTGATTTTATTTGAATAGTGACTATTTGTAAATTATCTTTATAAGTACTAGAAATGTACGAAAATCGGTTAATCCCTCCAGATATACCTCAAACTAGGAATTTCACTGTCTCCTTCTAGTCGAGTTGCCCCTCAACAAGTCATAGTTTCTACTGGAACCACCGTGTCTAGTTCAGTGTTCACCCTGAGTATCCACAATGCAGCCAAAAGACCCCTAGTTGGTCCAATAGTGGTAAATAGAAGAGTCACCTTGTTTGGAACTTCCGATGGATCAAGTAAGTCTGTACAGTATGATCAAAAGCATCTAAATAAAATAACTTTTATATTCTGTGACAGTTTAACTAATAAATTAGCTTTTATTTTTGATATAGCCACTTCAATTAGGGTCTAACGACAGCCCCCTGAATTTGAAATACAGGGTGAAGCAATCAATATATTTCGACAAACCTTTCGGTCCCTGGTTCTCAATGGTATGGCTATTCGTACCGTCCGAAATAGGGTTAAATGAAATGATGAAGATGGAGGACTTAAGGTCACTAACTTGCACACCGACCGAGATTAAAACTCACTACTACAATTGCCTGGTTACGGCGAACAAATAGTGGTCGGTCGTGGGTTTTAATGTCGTCGGTCGGCGTGTGCAACCCTGAATGAGTCTAATTCTAACGTTCAACCCTCCACCTTGTGCAGAAAAGTAGGACGTAAAACGCATTCAGTTCATTTCATTTCAAACCCTCCACCATAACTTTAACACCTTAGTCTTGTGATGTGATGAGTCAATTGTTCTGTGTGATTTTAGATGGAGAAGTTGGACTAAGACCACTGAGTTGTGATGCTGTAGGATCTGTAGCTGGTGAAAGATATAATATACTGCGAGCTGGGTGAGTATCGGTTTCATTGACCTATTTATTCAATTGACCACGACCTTTTTATTCAATTGACCATGACCTTTTTATTCAATTGACCATGACCTTTTTTATTCAATTGATCATGACCTTTTTTATTCAATTGACCATGACCTTTTTTATTCAATTGACTATGACCTTTTTAATTCAATTGACCATGACCCTTTTTATTCAATTGACCATGACCCTTTTTATTCAATTGACCATGACCTTTTTATTCTATTGGGTCGTGACCTGATTATTCGATTGGCTCCTGATGACCTATATTTCTTCTATTTATAGCTGTGGAGATGGTTTTGTAATAGATAAGTATGCTGGTTTCCAAACAGAAGGAAGAACAACTCGTAGTCCGTATTTCAAGATGTTTCAGATAAACGACGACCCGTTCACTTCTTTTGAATGTAATTTTACTCTGTGTACAACATCATGTGATGGGGTAAGATAAGACAAGTAACTTGGTGTCGAAGTTTTCCTTTCCTTTTCTCGTTTCAGTTGTTAGCACTCGGTGAAAATACAGTTGATCTTATACTATAGTCTGTAAGTTGCAAGGTCGAGCGTAGTCTTCCTTATTATTCTAACAGAATAACGGAATGGTCTTCATAGATGCTATAATTATAACCGATACACGTCACATTCAATGACTAGAAAACCTCTTTACAGTCCCTTTAAGAATGAAAATTTGAATATCACCTTTTTTGCAGGAAAATATTCATAAATTTTAAATATATCACCCATCCTGTAGGAATATATCATAAATTTTGAATACATGTATATAATATTTTTGTAGGATTCCTGTTCTACAGATTGTGGCATACCAAAACCGAAAGCAGATACACACATCGAATACACCTCTACTCTGTTCAAATCTACTGCCACTTATAAGTGTAACGTGGGATACATTCAAACCGGAAATGGACTGTCGGTGTGTGGTGGGGATGAGGTTTGGACTGTCC